TGCTCCCCTGAACTTAACTTAGTTGCTTCTGTTGCAAATAGTGCCACTCAAAAACAAACTGAAATATGGCATAATAGATTGGGTCACATTGGGAATGTGGGTCTGAATAAGCTGTTTAAAACTGGATTGTTAGACTTCCAACCTGAGAATCTTGTTTTTTGTGAAAACTGTGTTTTTGGTAAGAAAACTAGACATCCTTTTGAACAATCATCTTATGTTGCTTCTGCCCCATTGGAATTGGTTCATTCTGATTTGTGGGGACCCTCTAAAGTAAGCACAACTGGAGGTAGGAAATACTTTCTATCTCTAGTTGATCATTTTCTAGAAAGGTGTGGGTTTTCTTATTAAAAACTAAGGATGAAACCTTTGAGAGTTTTAAAAACTGGAAAGTTATGGTTGAGTCTCAATCCAACTTTAAACTGAAAGCTTTGAAAACTGATAATGGTCTTGAGTTTTGCAACAATGAATTCAATGTTTTTTGCAAAAATGAAGGGATAAAGAGGTTGCTTACTGTCCCTGGAACCCCTCAGCAGAATGGCACTGCTGAAAGGATGAACAGGACCTTGCTTGAAAAGGCAAGGTGTATGCTCATCAGTTCAGGCCTTGGTAATTCCCTGTGGGGAGAAGCAGTGACTACTGCTTCATACCTCATCAACAGATCCCCATCTTCTGTGATCAGTTTTAAAACTCCACAGGAAATGTGGTCTGGAGTTAAGCCTAACATTTCTCATTTAAGACCTTTTGGGTGTGCTGCTTATGCCCATGTTTCTCAAGGTAAATTACAACCTAGGGCCTTAAAATGTGTGATGTTAGGCTATCCTGATGGAATTAAAGGCTATAAGCTATTGGTTTTACAACCAGGGGCTTATAAGTGTATTGTATCCAGAGATGTTACTTTCAATGAATGTGATTTTCCACTTAAAAGAACTGATGCTGCATTGAGTAAGTCTGCAGATGCTTCTAATGGAAATTTCTTTGAATCTTTGGATATTGAGGACTCTTTGAATAAAGAAGACCTAAGTGGAATTTTCCACAATGCTGAAAATGATTATTCTGAGCAAGAGACAGATCAACAAGATAACCTCAATGGAGGTGAGCAGGTAGTAGTGAGTTCAAACTCACAAAGTGGTATTTCTGGTTCTCATACTCCCTTTGCGAATGAACAAACTGATACTACTGTTGCTGATAATCTGCATGTTAATAATAATGACACTGACAATAATGATACACCAAATTTGGCTGATTATCAATTGGTTAGAGATAGAGAACCTAGAACTATTATTCCAAATAAGAGATATTTCTCTAACCTTGCTGAATTTGTGTTGATTGCTGCTGAAATGGTTAAACACCTAGTTCCTGATAATTTTGAACAGGCCATGAAATGTTCTAAGTCTAATGAGTGGATGAAAGCCATGTAGGAAGAACTTCAATCCATGTTTTCAAATAAAACCTGGATTTTAGTTCCTAAACCAAAAAATGCTAAAGTAATCGATTGTAGGTGGATTTTTAGGTTAAAAGATAGTCTTGATCCTACTGAACATCCCAAGTTTAAGGCTAGGCTGGTTGCTAAAGGTTTTAGACAAAAAGAAGGGATTGACTACCAAGATATCTTTGCACCTGTTATAAAATTCAAAACTTTGAGATTGATGTTGGCTGTTACCACTGTCTTTGACTGGGAATTGGAACAAATGGATGTTAAAACTGCTTTTCTGCATGGAGACTTAAATGAAACCATTTTTATGTCTCAACCTCCTGGCTTTATTGATAAAGAATTTCCTGAACATGTTTGTCTTCTTAAAAAGTCAATATATGGACTTAAACAGTCTCCTAGACAATGGAATTTGAAGTTTGATTCCTGCATGAGTGAACTTGGTTTTTTAAGGAGTAAATATGATACTTGTTTGTATTATAAACATGTTGGAACTGATAATGCCGTTTATATCCTGCTGTATGTTGATAACATTCTCTTAATTGGTCCTTGTAAAATGCTGATTATTAGTGTTAAGGATGATCTTAAATTGCATTTTGACATGAAGGATATTGGCTCAGCTAAGAGAATTCTGGGCATTGACATTACTAGGGATAGATCCAATAGAAGCATGTTTCTGTCACAGGGTGATTATTTGACTAAAATCTTGGATAGGTTTAATATGAATGATTCTAAATCAACCCCCTTACCCTTAGGAGGGCATTTAGAACTCTCTAGAGACCCCTATCCTATGCCTTTAGAAGAATCTGAGAAAATGGCTAAGATTCCCTATGATGTTGCTTCTGGTTCTCTCATGTATGCTATGCTTTGCACTAGACCTGATCTTGCTTTTGCTGTTAGCATACTTAGCAGATTTATGTCTGATCCTAGGACCAAACATTGGACTGCTATGAAATATACTCTAAGATATTTGTCTGGTACTAAACACCTAGGTCTGAAATACTCTAGTGCTGATTCATATGATCTGAAAGGTTTTGTTGATTCTGATTATGCTGGATGTAAAGACTCAAGGAAGTCAACTACTTCTTGGTTCTTTACTTGGGCTGGTAACTGTATATCTTGGAAATCTCAATTGCAATCTATAGTAGCTTTGTCTACTACAGAGGCTGAATATATTGCAGCTACTGAGGCTATCAAAGAGGCAAAATGGTTAAAAGGTTTAGTGGGTGAAGTGTTAGGGACAAATGTTGTTCCTACTGTCTTCTCTGATAGCCAAAGTGCTATATATCTGATAGCCAAAGTGCTATATATCTGTGCAAAGACCCTATGTATCATGAAAAATCTAAACACATTGATGTTAGATTTCATTACATTAGGGATGAGATTTCTAAAGGTAACATTAAAATTGATAAGATTACTGGAGATTTTAATCCTGCTGACTTTGGCACTAAAATTGTTCCTACTGCTAAGTTTTTGTTTTGCAGGCAGTTCTTCAAGATCTTTGAAGTACCTTGATCGTGAGGGTACTTATTTGGGTTGATGATGAAATGGTGTTATCTGGTCCAAAGAATCCTAATGCTGGCAATGATGAAAGTATGCTCTTAGGAGCTGTGCTGCATCGGAATTAGTCTTAGGAGGGCAAATTGTTATATTTGTAATCCTAATTCTAGTTATCTTTAATATGATGTTTAGTACATAGATAGGAAGGTAAAGCAAGGTTAGGAAATTTAATTAGGTCTGGCCCGTTTCAGTTTATTTCTGAGTTTGGGCCTGATTATTTCCTTGGTCCAGTCCGGTTCTCCTTATTTGATCCAGCTCATTTGATTCGCCTATAAAGGCGTCTCTTTACCCGTCTGGAATCGTCTTCTACGTCATTCCAAAAACCCTAAGTCTGAGAGGCAATTCCATTCGAGAGCTTGTGCGATAATTGAGAGAGAAACCTCTGGTTCTCTTTTCCTGATCTGATACCACTTGAAGCCAGAATAAGCTGAGGAAGGCAAGGAGTAAATCGTGTGAAGAAACTTAGATCCAGAGCAGTTGGTTCGACTTCAAGAATCTGATAACTCCTGGGTTTTGTTGGTTTCGTCCGGTTATTTCTGTTCCTTCTCTTATTTTATTCGTGTGCTTGTGTTTGGCTGATTCTTGTGTGTTAGATCTGTTAGTTTCGTGCCTTGCTTTGCAACCATCTGTGTAATCAAACTGATCTGAGCTAGTGGATTCTTGGGACCGGGTTTCCCCTGTTGAAACCCCGCAGAGTAGGATTTATCCGAACTGCGTCAACATATCGTGTGTTCATTTCTTAATTTCTGTTTTTGGTTAAATTTTGGAACTTGAATCCGGTATTTTGACTGAGACTATTGATATAGTCTGTGAACAAGTATGATAAAAGTTTGTACAAAAGAGAGAAATAACAGGAATCATAAATTAGTTGATTAAAAACAAAGTGATAAAGTTTTTTGGGACATCCCGAAAAGGAAAGATGAAAAAAATTTAAATGACGTCATGAGTAATTTAAAACCCCAACAAAAAATCTTGAAACAATCTCTCAATGCACAGGTCATCTGCAAGTGCATGTGGCAAAGCCTACTCATTATCTGTCAGCTTGTAATTAAATTCCAATTTACACCCCCCCTAATTAACTGTCTGGCTAATGTTGAGAGCCTTAAGGATGAGATGTCATCCTTTTTTCCCTCATTGCATTAGGCGCAAATCTTAGTCGCGTGACCTTGTAAAAAAACATACACACCGCTAGATCTTAGTCTTCGATAGATTTCCAATCTTTATATATTTTATAAGTGTCGCAGTTTCATCTAATCTCATCAAGTTTCATCATTTTCATTTATCCCAGTGCCGCAGGGGGGTTGGATGTACGCAGTCTTACCCTTGTACAGAGAGACTGTTTCCGGAAGACCCATAGTGAAAATCGCGTCAAAAATTGCTTGGACTGACTGCTGCTTCATAAAAAAGAAGCGCAGACAGTTTAGTGAGCCATTTTGCTTTATTCCATCATATTTTCAAGCCAAAAAATAATGAATCTTTGGCTCCATTGCAAATGACGTAAATATCCTCAAATAATCTAATTTATTTAAACTTGTCTAATCAATCCTCAAATAAATTCAAACAAAAGGGGAAAACTGTCAAATAAGCCCCCATACTATGACGAAAAAGTCGATTAAACCCTCGTACTTTACAAACACTCAATTAAGTCCTCGAACTATTAAAAAAAGTTCAATTAAGCCCTTTTGGTTGGTAATTAACTGGTTTCCCGGTTAAACGATGACGACGATGTGCTCGAACCCCCAGCAACGGCGGCTGCCGGGAAACGAGATACATTTAACTGGGAAACCGGTTACTTACCGACCGAAAGAACTTACTTGAACGTTTTTTAATAGTTCGAGGACTTAATTGAATGTTTGTAAAGTACGAGAGCCTAATTGACTTTTTTGATATACTAATGGACTTATTTGATAGTTTTCCCAAACAAAAACATAGTCAATCTCCGTTTTCTTGGTCCACAAAAGAAGAAATAAAAACACAGTCAAAAGCAACTCACTCTCAGTCCTCTCCGTAACCGCAATTTCAGTGATCAACTCTGCTATTACAGATCCTTCAAAAAAAAAAACTCTGCTATTACAGAGAAAACGACCAATCCACCACTACCCTCAACTGCCGTTTGCTTTGCTCCGACACTCTTTACTTTTGAATCTATGTTCTAGCATAAAGCAAATGGAATCCAGAAAAGCAGAACCCATTTCCCACCGGGTGACCGGGGAACCGGACTCCGTTTCTCATCCGCTGCCCGATAAAGCAGATTCGGGCTCCCAATCTCACCCGAACTCGGATGAGCCCGAAAAAATCACCGCTTCAGACTCTTCGCCTGCTAGCTCCGACGAAATGGAATACAAAACACCAGAACCCATTTCTCGCCGGGCGCCCGGGAAACCGGAATCAGTCTCCCATCCGGTGCCCGCGAAATCGAAAGCGGGCTCTCTCTGGAATCTGATGGAAACCGGGGAAGATGCTGCTACAGATTCTCCGCCAGCTTGCTCAAACCGAATGGAATCTAAGAAACGGGAACTTGCTTCTAGCCCGGCGGCAGAAAACCCGGGATATGTTTCTCATTCGTCATCAAAGACAGGAAAATCAGATTTTCACCGGAATTCGCAAGATACCGGAAAAGCCACCGCTTCAGATTCTTCGCTGGTTAGCTCACTCCGAAGGAAGACCAGAAAACCAGAACCCGGAAAAGCGACAGCTTCAGCTTCTTTTCCAGCTAGTAATCAAAATTATACTTCCAGCGGAGACGGCGTTACTGAAGAACAAGATTTACCGCCGGGAGAGTCAACGCAGAGGTCTTCGATTTCTTCCGACGTAAGCTATTTAACCCAAGAATCCTCCCCGAGGGAAGAAAAGGCAATCACGTGTCTTCCGGCGCCGGCGGAGATGGATCCGAGGCAAGAGGTGATGGTGAGAAGGTCATCGGAACCGGACTCTTTGGCCTTGGTGGTGATTGATGAGTACGCCGGAGATGTGGACGGCAGTGCGGGAGGAAGCAGGGGCAGCGAGAACCGGCGGAAGTTGAAGGAGAGGTTGTCGACGATGAGGAGGTCGCAGAGAGAGAAGAAGTTGAAGAAAGCTGCTTTGGGTTTTAGGGTATTTGGATTTATGCTGTGTTTGGTTTCCTTGTCCGTCATGGTGGCTGATCGGAGACAGGGCTGGGCTATTGATTCTTTCGAGCTTTACAAGGAGTTCAGGTCTTTTCTTCTTTCTGAGTGCTTCTCTGCTTAGGCGTTGTTTGGTAAGACTTATTTGATTAACATAAATTAATTTGCTGAACTTTATGTTAGGTAGGGCTGCATAAGAATAACCCGAATCGGCACAATCCGTCCAATCCAACCCTACCCGACCCTATTTAATCGGGTATTTTATTTTAAAAAATATTCATGGGTTAAATATGTTTGAACCCGCACCTAATGGGTAGGGTGGCGGAATTAAAATCTCAAACTCGATAGTACCGACCTGGCCGAAGTTCATTTTACTATTATCATGCTACAAAGTTTTGGATAATTTCAATTTAAAATCAATGTGCTCTATCTAAGACTTTATGATATTAGAATTATAATTAAACATTTACCATTTTGATTAGGTGATTATTATATATTTACTTTTCCTTCTAAATGATTATTATTATATATTTACGGAAGGATGCTTTAATACTATTACCTAATGGTTTGCTTACAGAAGATACGAGTACTTGTATTTGTTTGTGTGTTTTGGAGACAAGTTAATCGAGTTTTAAGTGATTTGTTACATTAATTTCTCATATGAAAGATGCAACCCGAAGTGATTTTTTTGTTCCAATATTCGACCTCACCCGACCCGTTCATGCATGGTTTGCAAACTTATTTTACGTATCGCGGGTTGGTTAATAGCCAACCCGAACAAATTGGGCAGACCCAAAAAATATAGTACACCCGACTCAACCCGCCCGATGTGCTGCCCTATTGTTAGGAATTGCATCTGGCAAAACCAATTTCAACGACATTCCCTCTTTAAAAAAAGTCAACGACATTAAAATGTTTTGACCACCATTTCAGGGACAGTTCGGAAATCTCTTTTCAGCATATTTAGTATTCCGTACTTCGTAACTATGAACTTTCGGTTTTATGCCTCTAATCGTATAATAATTAAAATATGTATAGGTTTAAATTACATTTCAACTGAATTGATTGAAGTTATAGTAGATGCTGATATAACTTTTTTATTAATTTTATCATTAAAATATTTTAAATATTGTTTTTTCAGTCCAGTAGATTTTCAATTCTAAGTCGCTTCAACCATAATTTCATCAATTTCAATCGATTCAACCAATTTCAGTGAGACTTTAGTCTTTTCTCATTTTACCTTCTCCACCCATTTCACTATATTCGTCATATACGGAGTACAAAGGATTACATATTCGTATTTGATAATATTTGAGTGTTTGCAATTCATTCTTACTTTATTCGCATTTTATCAATCTAATATTGACAACACAATTTCACTTTTTCTTAATAAGGGTAAAACTCCCTCTTGTCCTAATTCTAGGGGGGTTAAAATAAGTATAGTAAAAAGAACCTTATGTGTAAACAAAATGTCTTTGTCAAAGGAGAGATTTGCAAAATAAAATATCTCTACTTGGTAGAAGAAAATTATTCTAAAGTAGAGTGAATATGTCAAAAAAAGTTTGTCTTATTATTTTGGTGACAAGTACAAATAGGCCGAAGTGTGCTAGTATTATACAGTGTTAATCTTGGTTGTGTTTCACCATTGTAGCAAATCCACATGGCTATCATGGTATGGCTCAGTTACATACTTACATCTCGATCTTTTTTTGAATGAATCCAATAGTAAAACTTATTTTTAAATTAATTAATTCACGTTTAAAGAAAAACGCACCTTTTAATACTCCCTACATATTATAAAGTTTGCTACATTTCTTTTTTGGCATGTATTTGAAAAGTTTGTTACACTTTCTTGTTTTGGTAAGTTTTCTTTTTAAAAATATTCAGTTGTCTTTATTTTTTCTACTTTTTATCTTATCTTTCATACATTTACATCTTCTCTCCTACTTTTTTATACTATTCATTATCTCTACTATTTTTCTCCTTAAATAATGTGCCAAATCCATAGGTAATAATCTTTGAATTATGGAGGGAGTATATAAAAGTTAAAGTTAAATGTATCTTCTTTCTTTCCAAACATAGTAGAAGCGAAAAGTTATTATTGGCAGATATAAAAGTCTAATACGTAGTACAAAATATGCATTAAATTCCTTAAACCCTAATTATTTTTGGACAAACAGAATGGGAAAAAGTGACAAATTGATAAGGTCTAGTTATGTTTGGTTTGAATTGATCTAATATGATACTATGTTTATGTTTGTTCTAGTTTGATCTAGTCTCATCTCGTTTGTTTAAGTCTATTTTTGCCTGACCGTGTCTAGTCTGGTTTAAATTTGAAATTAGTTCAAGTGAAAATATTCTAACTAATTCTTACTCTATTTATCTATAGGACTTGAATTAAATGTAGTGATGATGGAAATGGAAATGGCAGGTACTCAACGACAGTCAATGCAATAGGGGTTGTGTACTCAGGAGCACAGGCAATTGGTTTGATTTATCACTTTGCAACTGGCAGGAATGCTTTCCACCACCCTTTCCGCCATCTCTTTGATTTTGCAGTAGATCAGGCAAGTTCATTAATCAACCTGACTTATTTTTTGTGTTTTAATAATGGTAGGGGAGATGCTGGATGAAGGTGTTTATTCATGTCTATATGTAAATGGTATTGGCATTACCATTGGTTGAAATTTGAGTGGGCATTGATAGATGAACAGGTATACCTGTGAATGTTTACCAGAGTTTGGTTGAAATTTCAGGTGATAACATACCTTCTAATTTCTGCATCGTCTTCGTCTGCCACACGGGTTGATGAATGGCGATCCAACTGGGGAAAAGACATGTTCCCGGATATGGCGAGTGCGTCTGTGACAGCGTCCTTCTTTGCCTTCCTTTCGTTGGCTTTCAGCTCTATCATCTCTGGTTATGTTCTTTGCACTTCCAGATCCATGCACACTTAAAGTGATTTGGTGTTTTGCATGTAATTTTACTCTCTTGTAACAAGCTGTTTATTCTCAATAAATATGTAAAGCCCCCTAAGTCCAAGGAATTTGAGATTAAGGATTGCGAAAGTTTAGTTTTCCAGCCAACGGGAAGTACATCTTCAGCGCAACGGAGGGAGTGACCGAGACTGTTGAGTGGATAAATTGAGAGAGCAGATGGAGTGAAGCCTTGACTCATGACTTCAATTCCTTAACAGTTCAATATTGCTCATCATATAAAGTTTATGGGGACATCAGTTTTGAACCGGAACTGGTATTGGTACTGTCGGTTATAGAAACAAAACCGATAGTGATCATATATTGGGATAAAAACAGGGGTCTCCTTAGAAAAGTAGTGTCAATCACATTTCACCAGAAATGAAATTTAAATTAGTTCCTAAGAAGTAAGAACCAGAACTAGGACCTTGTTATTTAAGTTTCTTTTGCAGTTCTATCATATTGAGAATTGATACTGGTGGTTCCAAAATTGGAGCTGGCTACTTGGCTAGGAACAGAACAAGTACAATGATTCAATTTACCCTTCATGTGTTTTAACTTTTAACAATACTATTATTCAGAATTTTAATTGAAAAATATTTATGAGTACAGAAATTAGATAAACCAAATCTTTCAACCTCTTTTCACCCATATCATTACTGCTACAATCAATGTTTTATATTGTATATTTAGGTTGATCTTTTTTATTCTTTTTTTGGTACACTTCTCATCCTGTTAAGCCCCCAACGTCCCAAATCCAATACATCGAGTTTAGAAGAACAACGGAGGAAATCATACGCAGCGTCTCTTTCCTATAACAGTGAATCTTCCACAAGTGAAGGATTGTAATTACACACATCCTACTATAAAAAAGGGATGAATGACATTGATAACCATTTGTGATTGACCTATAACAAAGACAACCTTAAGAAAAAGACAAGACTATCAATCTTAAGTTTTCATGAACGATTTATTTTAGATAACGTAACAATACTTATTAAGAAAACAAAACCAACACTGTCATATATTCACAAGTACTCCTGCCCCGAGTAGCACTTCTTACCTAATACTTCCAGAATTCCAGGTTGCATGTCACTAGGAGTACGTACAAGTGTACAACTAATGCTCCATTTTTGGTGATTTTTTTGTTTGTTGATGCATCAGAGAGAAATTTATGGTAATTAACAATTGGAACTTGCACTGTCGGTTATTGAAACAAAATCGATTGCGGTCACATGTTCTTGTGAATTGTGATAAAAATCGAGGTCTCCTTAAGAATGAAAAGTTATTATGAATACACAAAACCGTCCCGAACCACCCTTGGTTGTTGGTGCAAAACAGAACATGCGCTTTTGCTTTTTGGAGCAGTATAGCTTCCTTAGTGTGCAAACACAAACAGCGCAGTTTTATACCATCCCATCAATCCCATAATAATATCTCCTGGTAACGAACGGACATCATTTTCCAAAGCACAAGTATTTGATAGCACATGTAAATGACATGACCAACTTTGTCATATGCAGGTTCGTGCTGGACAACTATTGTCATCTTTTGAGCAAACATCACTTTTTATCTTGTACTTTTACTCCACATATACCAAAAAACACTCACAACAAATACATACATTAATACATACAACAAAACAGTTTTTTTGAATAATCTGACTACTCCGTTGATTCAAGCACTGTGAGGTGCCACTTTTCTATTGTTTATGATAAGGCCATCTCCAACCGTTAACACCATTTTTTACACTAAAATGGTGTAAACATCACATCAAACAATATTTTATCTCCAACAGTTTACACCATTTTCATCACCAAAAAGGAATATTCTCTTTTTATTCTTTTTACTAACTTTTTACCATTCTTCTATTTAAGTATCTAACTATCATATATTTATACATTAGCCCCTCATTTAATTATTTTGACATTTCTAAATTAGTATGTACCATGTATGTTTTTAATTATGTTTTAATTTTAATTATAATGGTGTTATTAATTGTAATTTTAATTATGCTATTTCCTTAAGTACCATTTGTATTCTGTTATAATGTTGTTTGGATTTGAAACTTTATTTATAATATTGGGTGATTTAAATTTTATTATATTTTTTTCTATCAAATTAATAATTTTAATTTGTTGTTCTATAAGGATGTTTTTACTTGGACTGTAATTTGTCTCGGGATCAGATCAGACCTGATTAGACCACACTTGGGTGGTTATAAAAATACAAAGAAATCAGACCAGACCACATCATTTCAGATCAGACCAGATCAAATCAGACCAGACTAGAGCGGACAAACCAATTTCAGTCCAAGTAAAACATCCTAATTTGTTGTTTTAAAAATGGGTGAAAACTATAATAATTAAAACTTGAAGGTCACATTTAAAAGGAAAAGAAATTAAAAAAGGTGGATAGTGTTAGATATGGCGTACACCATTGTAAAGTCATCTCCTCTCCCCCAAAATGGTGTAATGGTGTGGAGAATGGTGTCATTGTTAGAGCAAGTTTTTGGCAAATACACCATTTTGGTGTGTGATTTGGTGGTCTGTTGGAGATGGCCTAAAACCCTAGTAACCCACAACCCAACTTCATACAAACAAGTATAACTTCTACAGAGTACAAAATTTAGTTTTTACATGAGTACCCCCATTTATTTTTTTGATTACAAATCCCCACTCAGTAACAAACACTTGGGCTTTGAAGAATTATAAATAAAGCAATGGTGCAAAACTTAGCACATAGGTTGGTGGTGCAGTTGGCGGGAACTCCAAGTTGTGGTACTATTCAAAGGTGAAGAAGGGAGAATGATGGTTGGCAGCCTCATGCTTTCTTCAACATGAGGGAAATCAACAGTGTAGTGAAGGCCACGGCTTTCGTGCCTTGAGAGGGCGCTACTGACCACCAGCTTGGCACAACAGAAGAGATTCCTCATCTCACAAGCCTCCAATCCAACCATGGTTGATCCCCAACCATGCTTAAATAAGTATGCTTCCCACTCCCTTTCCAACTCCCTGATCGTCCTCTCAGCGCTTTCTAATCTCGTCGTTGACCGGACAATCCCAACATATTCCCACATGATCGACTGCAGTTCCACCCTCACCTCCCTTGTCCGTCTAACGATTTTCTCCAACATCACGTCCCCCAATGACATGGGGACCACTGGTGGGGGCCACCAACCCGAAGCACGTCCCGACCACATCAAGTGGTGGTCGATCGAAGGCTGAACGGCCCTCCGTGCAAACACCAACGCTTCCAGTAATGAATTGCTAGCAAGGCGGTTCGCTCCGTGCAATCCTGTGCAGGCAACCTCGCCAGCTACATAAAGGCCGAACACATTAGTCTCGCCGTGGAGCCCGGCCCGGACTCCGCCGCACATGTAATGGGCAGCGGGGATCACGGGGATGGGTTGCCGGGTGATGTCAAGCCCATACTTGAGACACTCCGCCGCTATGTTTGGGAAATGATGAAGAATATCTTCTCTGTTTCTGTGACTGATGTCTAGAAGGACATACTTTTCGCCACGCTTTTTGAGCTGGTCATCTATGCTTCTAGCTACTACGTCTCTAGGTGCTAGTTCTGCTCTCTCATCATATAAGGGCATGAACCTCTGCATATCCAAGTTATAAAGGATACCCCCATCACCTCTGACAGCTTCTGTTATCAAGAAGGCATTTTCACGGGCATTGGTTGGTCGAAAGGGGAGGCCTTCATCAGCTAGGGCAGTTGGGTGAAACTGGACAAACCTATAAGGAACAAATATCAAGAGTCATTATCGCTGAGCATAGGAACCTCTCTCATGTAGCTTGAATTAGAGGTCACTTACTCCATGTTAGAAATGACAGCCTGAGCTCGATGAGCCATAGCTATTCCATCTCCGGTGGCAACCTCCATAACATTTACCACAATATAATTAGAATGGCTCATGGCAGTAATCATTTACAGTTTTACACTATGTTTGGGAAGAAGGAAATGAGTTAAAATATGGAGAGAAAGAAACTTTACCTAGTTTGGTACTTCGGTAGGGAAGGGGAATAGGGATGGAAAGGAAATTAGACCTTATTCTCCATCCTCCTCTTCCCGTCCAGAATGAAAGGAATATTCACAATTATTATAAAAAATATACAGTGCCTTTTAATAGGGCTCCTTAAGATTTTAAAATTTAATTTGTGTATGTTGTAACGTTTAAAATCGTAAATATATAACATTATAAATTATAAATTCTTATTTTACCTCAATCAACAAAAAACATTAAAAAGTAAATCTGATTATTTTCGTTCTGTTTTTATTTTACTTAAATAGAAACACTGATACGAACTCTGATATTGTAACAGTAAATTGATCGGTAAAGTGTAGAAAAGAAGAAGAAGACGCTGGGTTTTTTACAAGAATATTACTAAAATAAAACTTATGTATATAAATATGACTATTCATTACTACAACGTGGTGTTGTGGTAACTTAAGTTCAAAACTTGAACATGAATTACTATGATCTCATTACTATTCTAGTAACTAGTCATATTTTTGTAAATTATCTTTATTTTGATCATATTTATGTAATTATTTCTTATTCTTTTCCCATGAGGCTTCTCCTCAGTTTAACTAATTACTAGGCCCAGCCCACTTCTTTTTTTACATCTTATTAAAATAGTCAGTAATATTCATTATTATTTCCATTACTTCTCTCGCCATATCTTCAGGTCCGTATCATCACTCCCCCTTTGGACAACCACCTTGTCCTCAAGTCCTCAAGGTGGGGAGTAAGAAAATATCCATGCCATTCAGCTTCATTCTCGCGCCCCTTCCTTCCCAGTACCTTGATGACTGCTGAATTATGATCTTCAGCACTTGATCCTTCAATATCCTTCAATTTTCCAGGTTTATCTGCAGCAGAAGTAATGTCTGAAGTTTCCTTCTTTTCAGTAGCCTTCCAGCACTCAATAAGGACAAATACTCCCGTGCTTCCATGAACTATCAATGTGTTGGACGTAGATTTGTTGTTGCTCAACTCATGGTCTACAAAAAGCACTATGCAACCTTCTCCAAAAAACATGGATACTCTTTGCTTCTGGCCTCCCCTAATATGGACTCCTATTTCACTAATTTCAGTAAGATCACCACCAGGGAGCAATTGCAGATCATGTTGTACAGCAGTTACATCTATTACTGATAGGAATTATTAATAAGTGGGCCTATTATTATAGATATTAATAAGTGGGCCTTTGATTTTAATAGAAGGAAGAGGGTTATGGGCTATAAATAGTTGGGAAAATAACTAATGAGGTAGGCTGTTATTGAATTGGCATCTAGTACAGCAGTCCCGTTGCTTGTACCCTACGTTGATCGTTTCCTTCAATAAACACTACTATTACTCCATTTTTCTGCAGATCTTCTCTATATTGTTACTGCTCTTGCTTGATTATTGTCAGTATCCTATCATTGGTATCAGAGCCAACGTTTCTGGTAGCTTGAAAATTATCGCTGCTGCAACTGACTTCCGTCGTTCCAAGCTGTGGATGGTTCGGACGCGAGCAAAGATGGAAAAACGAATGGAAGAGGTGGAACACAGTCGGATCGCGATGGAGGAAAACTTGACGCGAATGGATGGGAGAATTGAAGCGATGATGGTTGCCATAAATAGCATAAGGGAGGAATTACGCGACAGAGATAGGTCGCGATCTCAACTTCGCCGACACTCGCGATCATCACCCAACCGGTCGCGATCTCAACATCGCAGATACTCGCGATCATCACACACTCCTATTGCGTCTAGAGGTAACTCAGTAAACTCTAATCCTCGGGAGCATAGGCCTGGTGATGATCACCACCGTTTTCATATTCAGTATGCTCGTAAGGTGGATCTACCACTATTTAATGGAAACGGGGCTTATAACTGGTTGATACGTATGGAGAGGTATTTTAGATTGAATCAAATTGCTGAAGGAGATAAACTGGAGGTGTCCATACTAGCTATGGAGGAAAGAGCTCTTAACTGGCTTCAATGGTGGGAACACCAGACGGAGGAGAAGAACTGGGAAGCTTTGAAGGAGGCTGTCATACGCAGGTTTCAACCGGAGTTGCTGCAAAATCCTTTTGAACCTATGTTGAGTTTGAAACAAACTGGTACTGTAAGTGACTATAGGGATGAATTTGAGCTGACTATAGCACCCCAGAAGAATGTGGACAGGGAAATGCTGAGAGGAATTTTTATCACTGGGTTGAAGGAGGAAGTGAAGGCTGAATTGAAACTATATAAACCCATGACTCTAGCTGAAGTTATGGAGACAGCAGTGTTGATTGAGAGAAAGAATGTCGCTACAAATTTGAAGAAGCAGGAGGATGAAAAAATGTGGGGTAAAGATAAAGGACCGATATCTAGCAAATCTCAGAACTGGGGAGAAGGTTTTAAGGCCAGATATGGGAACTCTGGATTCACCACTCAAGGAAAAGGTGCAAGTGAGAATAGGAGTTTCAATTCCTGGTTTGATAGAATGGGGAAGAAAGTCACAGAGATGCAGACTTCAGGAATCAGGAAGGTAGCACCTCAACTATCCCAAGAAGAATTCCAAGAGAGAAGTAGGAAGGGGCTTTGTTTTAAATGCGGAGAGAAGTGGAATAAGGAGCACACCTGCAAGTTGAAGAACTATAAATTGATGTTAGTAGAAGATTCAGAGGCGGAGGAAGAAACCGATTGGGAGGAACCTGAAACCCCAGAAGAAGAAGTGGTAATGGAATCCAAATCTATGCAGTTATCTCTTATGAGCAGAGAAGGCATACCTACCATGAGAGCCTTCAAGATAAAAGGAATTATGAAGTGGGATAGAGGGGTAAAACAAGTGGAAATGTTGATTGATAGTGGGGCCACTCACAACTTCATTTCTAAGAAACTGGTGGATGAATTGGAGCTGCCTTTTAAAACCATTTCAGGATACAAAGTGCAGGTTGGTAATGGAGAAAAGCTATCTAATGATGGAAGATGTGAAGATTTGACTTTATGTATGCAGGGTTCAATCATAAAACAAAACTTTTACTTTCTGACTTTGGAAGAAACTGACTTGGTATTAGGAATGGAGTGGCTGACTACTTTGGGTGATGTGGAAATAAACTTTCGGAAACAAAGTATAAAATGGAAGATTCAGGGGTTAGATCAGCAGATTCAAGGGGACCCACACTTGAGCTCAATGGAGATATCACTGAAAACCATGACTCCGGTGGTGCAGGTGGTGCAGGACACTGGTGATGGTTATTGTATGTTTTATGAAGGGCAATCTGTGCAGGTAAAGAGTGTTGCTTGTGCTGGAAGTCAGGATAAAGTTCTGGAGGTTGACAACACTGTAAGATTTCTGGGGGCTTTGGCAAAATCAGGGGTGCAAGATGATCCAAAGTATATTGCAATTGAAGAATCCAGGTTCACGCAATCTGATGCCAGGTTGGGGGTGATAGTAAAGGAAAGTGCAGGAAGGATGGGGAAGAAAATCTTGAGAACTGGGTTCGGAACTTACCAACTGTGGAAGTTTTACATTGAAGGTAGGAATTCTGGTTCCATACCAAAGATAACAGCTGCTGAAATATCAGGTTCTGGATTGAGCTGGGCAAATGAGTTTGATTCTGTATATCAGTTGGGTGGACTCGATATAGAACTGGATTCTACGTTTCAGACGGTTGTGATTGCTATCTCACAGATAGGGCACCTCGTGGATCTACCTTTAAAACAAGGAAGTGAAAAGGGAATCACAGCTGCTAGAAATTGGTGGGGTGAACTGAACATTCATAGTGAAATTATGCAGCAAATAACCGGGAACCATAGCTCTCTTCATTGGCAATCTAAACAGGAGGTTGAGAAGGACCCAACAGTGCCAGTACACCTGCTCATTCTGGCAGTGGTAGAGGTCAAGAGGATGGCCCAAGTGCTGAAGCTAAAGATCCAGAATGCTTTGTGGTACTGGGTAGGGAGAGGGGCTCGGATGAAGATGAAGTTGATAATCAAGGCTGACTCCTATCACCCACCTTGAGGACAAGGTGGTTGTTTAGGGGGGAGTAATGATAGGAATTATTAATAAGTGGGCCTATTATTATAGATATTAATAAGTGGGCCTTTGATTTTAATAGAAGGAAGAGGGTTATGGGCTATAAATAGTTGGGAAAATAACTAATGAGGTAGGCTGTTATTGAATTGGCATTTAGGCTTGGAGAGTGGGCTTCTCAAACAGTCCCGTTGCTTGTACCCTACGTTGATCGTTTCCTTCAATAAACACTACTATTACTCCATTTTTCTGCAGATCTTCTCTATATTGTTACTGCTCTTGCTTGATTATTGTCAGTATCCTATCAATTACCTCCTCCTGATATCTGGAAGGTTGAAACCGCGGGCCAAATTTTATGTATTCACGCACTGCTGCTTTAAAGATCCCAGACAATGATGGTACGCAGGCAACTGTTCCACTAATCAGGACGCTAGCCTCAGAAACTGCAGGTACCTCACCAAGCATAACTACAACGACAGCAGTTGGGAGCACGGAGTCAAGCATCTCCTTGGTTGAGCTAAGATGACACCTCAATAGAGAGTAGGTAGGATACTTGTTCGGTCTCTTTTCAGAGACTGCCATATCAGCAGCAAGCATCAACTCTTCTACCCTTCGATACACTCCAATATCAACAGGATAAGGCGTGTAAGTGGCAACCTGACATTGAACTTCAGTATCAATTTGAATTTGAACTTCACCAGGCTCATCATCAACACTTTTAGAAACCATTTGAACACTCATTTCTTTCTTTTCAATTTCAGCATTTTCCCCAAGGTAAGGAATGATTTCAACCTTCATTTCCTGAACTATATCATACTTTCGTTTCATTGCAGATGAAACTCGATGCAAACTTGTACTCAAGTTCTGCCAACTAACTTGATGTGAGGCATCCTTTTCACAAAAGATATAAAGGTTGACTGCGTTCTTTTGTATATCTTCAGCCTGTAGCATGTGTGTAGGTTCTCTTGGTAGTTCCAAAAGGACAACATATTGCATTCCAGGAGATTCCACACATAGGTGCTGAGATCCCTTTTTTATTTAAAATTTCACAGGAGAACCACCTTTCGGCTGTAAGTACAACATCCTTTTTCTTCCAGAAGCATGGCCGTACGAATGAAAATGTCTTTGAATATCTCTGAATCCTTGAATCTTATAGAAATTACCAGCAATTCATAGCTCTCCAACGTCTCTTCCTCTGATACCTTTCTCTTCGAGTATTTTTGAGAATTAGGGAATAGCAGGGACACATTTTCATTTCCTTTCTTGTCATCAATCAATATTCAACATTCTCAGGTACCAAGTTATAAGCAGACTTTGATGTATGCAGATCAATCTCCCTTCCTGAGCGGTTATAACTTCTTTTAATGAATACCTCCTCCTCGTATGATGTAGCATGTGAACTGTTGGTGTCTCCTCTTTCTAGAGGAGTACTAGGGTTTGCATAAGGATATAGCAGCGATTTGGAGTCTCCTCCTGATAGCGTCACACTTTGATGCGAGCTGATAGCAGATGAAGAGACCTGCAAACAGGGGAGATCTGTTTGCGACGAAACCTGAGGCCTGGGAGGTACTGTTTGCGGCAAAGCTGGCAATCTGGAAGAAGCTGTTAACTACGACACACACACGGCTAGCGACTTACTGTGAGGAACTGATAGCGTCGACGAACATTGAGAATCTGTTTGCGATGGTGAACTGGAAGACGCGGTCCGCGACTGCAAACTGGGAGAAATCGTTCGCGACTGCGAACTAGGATAAGTCATTCGCGACTGCGAACTAGTAACAGTGACAAACGACGATGCTGAGTCCTTCGTTTCCGAGGGTCGATGGCTCCTGACTGTCCGCGATCGACCTCTAGGTCACCTGCGACAAAACTGACGCAAACCGTTGCACATCCTGTCCAGAGACTCTTCCATCTTAGTCCACATCTCCTTCACATGACGCTCAATGTTGTCCATACTTTTCTCCATTCGGGGTGACACATAGAATTCGCCCATCTTTCCAGCTCGTTGATGATGATGATCGATCCAGACTCCAGGAGCGAAAGCTCTGATACCAATTCCTGTCCCGGCTAGGAAGGATTGTGATTAATACATTAAAGGATTGAGCCCAGTTGGAGAGACAAAAACATCAGGCCCAGTAGTCCTCACAGCATGATCTGATTTCCACACCAGTGCTTGAATCCTCTTTCCCTGAGTTTTATCTGTGACTTTTCCCTGATCCTCTAGTTTCCTTGACAGTTGAACCTTCACTTTACATGCACGAATTCCATTTTTATCCACCTCAGGGGTTTTCGAACCTTCATGATGATTTGGATCATCATCTGGATCTGGTTCTTTGATAGATGGTTCAGCCGGCTTCAACTCAGAATTCATTTTCAGCGATGCAGTCCCTGGCAAGGAAACTTGAGCGCTGTGATGCTCGGAAACCTGAGATGAAAGCTGCGAGCAAGGGAGATCCGTTTGCGAATTGGAAGAAGCTGATAATGACGATGTCTGCGAACTATGAGCAGCGGCTAGAGATGACAAACTCTGAGGAGCAACTAGCAACGGCAAACGATGATGAGCTGCTAGTGGTGGCGATTGGTGCGAAGCGGCTAAACTGGAGAAAACTGATTGCGACCCCGACGAGCATGGGCTTTCAGATGGCCGACGAGGTACAAGACTCATCTTTACTTCTTATTTTTCTTTTCTCCAGTTAAAATTTCTCAAACATAGTGATACAGATAAAATAAAAGATATAGCTTGCCAAGGATCAGAGCATGATAACTCAAAACCACGTAGAACATAAGAAGTAAAAGTTATTGAAGAGAAAGATTTGATCCCCTACCAGAGGATTAGTGGTAGATGGGTATATATGCCCAGCCCCGCCTGATGCAAGCAGGGTTACCTTTGAAAAAAACCTTACTACCTGCAGTTCAAGCGCAAGTGACCCAACAAAACCATCAATTGGAAGTCCCTCACAATATATAAATTTAAGAATATCCAAGTAATGAGAACAAACTACATATCTTACCTCCAAGGTTTCAGTATTTAAAGTGTCAACTCCATGGCATATTGAGACAGAACCATCCTGCAGCAATAATTCAAATTGATATAGTTTAATCACTTTAATGCAATCCACGCCTAAAAGTAGAGCCGTCAAAACGGGCCGAAACCCGTGGGTTGGCCCGTTTCAACCCACTTATAAGTGGGTTAGGGCTATCATTTTCAGGCCCGATTGTTTTGCGGGCTCAGTGGGTCAACCCTAACGGGTTGCGGGTTTAGCGGGCCAACCCGTACGGGTTGCGGGCCAACCCGCGGGCTGAGGACAAATATCATTTATTCTATGTATTTTTAATTCTATTATGAGAAAATAACTTTAAATAATACCAACTATATTCGATAAATCAATAATAATACGTACTTTAGAAATAACTTTTAATAATACCAACTATCTGGATGTGAACCAAAAATAAAATAGAGACACTTTTCTACAAGAAATTCAATCATTTAAGACATCAAAAACTAAGATCAAATCATCAAATAATTGATATTTGAAAATATGATCACTTATTTGATATTTTGATATTATTTTTTGATGAATTGAATAAATGAATTTTTGGTGAAAATTTGCTATATATCACTTTTGATAGATAATCAAATAGTTGGTATTATTAAAAATTATTTCTCAAGTTTGTATTATTCTTGGTTCATGGAAGATAATTGGTATTATTTAAAGTTATTTTCCCTTCTATTATTTCTATATAGGACAATTATATCTTCTATTATACTCTCTTTACTTCTAGTTCTTTCCTCACTTTTAATACTAATGTATTTTGTTCATGATATCCAAATCAGACTAAATAATTTATTTTTAATGTATTCGTTGCTATAATGTTTTATAACATAAGGACTTCTATGCTGTTTTATTCATGATATCCAAATCAGACTAAATAAATGAGAAATTAGGTATTTGTGGTATTTCAGCTTAACTATACCCACGATAATACATTAAAGCTTTTAAGTATTTAATCATTTAACTTTTTAAGTATACCAGTTACCCACGATGATACATTCAAACATACAACCAAAGGATTTTCAAGCACTAATTTTTTCCTTTTTAATTGTGTTTGAATTTTAATTTAGATATTTAATTGCTATTTCAATTGTGTTGGGATTTTAATTTAGATATTTAATTGTTTTTTTTTTGTTTTGACATTTATGGCCCGCGAGCTGGCCCGCATAACCCGTGGGTTAGGTGGGTCGGGTTAGGGTCATAAAAATTCTGGCCCGATAGTAAGCGGGTTGGCCCGCCCCGACCCGTGAAACTCATAACCCGCCGCGGGTCGGGGCGGGTCGGGGCGGGTTGGCCCGTTTGACAGCTCTACCTAAAAGTACAGCTAACCACTGAGGCCCTGTTTAGAACATGGAAACTATAGGGAAAACACAATGTGGAGGAAAATATAGGAGATGTTTTAAAGTAAAGAAACAGTGGGGGGATAAAGCGTTAGTTAAGACTAAACTTTTTTCCTATTTGTTTAAAGACTAAGAAATCTAAACATATTTATGAAAAATAATTCAAACATTGGTCATATGACAACTTCTTTTATATTTTTTGTGGTAAAACCAAACACATGAACGTAAACTTTAATAGCATTTTCCCTACTCCCTAGCATTTCCCAGGATCTATACATATCCTTAGAGTGTTTCGCATAGCATCATTACAACGTTCAGTCGTCTAGCATACTCAAACTATTGTTCCGTTGGAACTTGGAGGTCAGGTAGTGATCATGAGACTTTCTATTACAAAAAGGGAGCAAAGAGCATAAGAAGCTAACCTGAGACGTAAGCAAGTCTATAGCAAAATGGTGCTCAAAAACATATATATTTGGATCTTTTTTTACTGCCTCCAACAATGCCCTCTCTATTTCCCTGCCTGTCATATCTGCTGCATGCACGATTCTGTGATGAGAGTGCCCGCCTTCCCTTGCCAAGTGCAAATTTCCATCCTCCCCGTGATCAAATGTAGCCCCCATGGCTATCAACTCTCTAATTCTGTCAGGTCCTTCTGTGCATACAACCTGGGGGGGTCTAAGTATGAGATAGCTATGAGCTAGCATAATTTCTTTTGAAAGCAATGATAAAAAAGGTACAGGACTAAGCATCAGACCTGCTGTTGAATATCCCATACCAGTTGTCTACTTGGTTTAGTCCAGTACATAAGTTAGATAAATTTCAGCTCATAAGGATCCTTTAGAAATGAGTTAGTTCCAAAAAATAGTCTTATAGATTGATCCGCTAGTGGCTTGTGGGATGCCCACCAACAGGATTGGGGTCAGTTTGGGACTTTGGGCCAATGTGTTCACCCATTCAGTGGTCCAGCTCCATCTTGATTAATGGAATGGGCTGAGTATTGGTTTGGTTCAGTATGCGACATTAGTTGTCTACTTAATTTGGTTTGTAAGTGTCGCGTTGAACCTCACCGATGTGAGGATCCTTTTAGAGTGAACTAAACCCAACTTAGCACATACAAACACGGTAATGAGGTTTTCAGAGAACATACATACTCTGACCGTCTCTTCATCACAGAGGTAAGCACCAGCCACAATTGTATCTTGCATATGGCTCTCCACCGAATCTTTAGGACAGAGAACAGCACTTACACCACCCTGAGCATAGTTAGTATTGCTCTCATGTGGCTCCGCTTTTGTTATGATTGCCACAGTTCCATGTTTTGCAACCTCAAGAGCATAGCGAAGGCCAGCAACCCCGCTACCAATAACAGCAAAGTCAAAGTACTTGGTAGAGCCATTTCTAAGGCATGATGTGATTGTTTTATGGGACTTGAAATTCACATAAGCTTGAGAGTGTGAAGCACTCTGTCGCAATATATTGGATGCATTGCATGACCTGGGACAAATTTAAAAATCTAACCATCAAAAATCACAATACACACAGACAAATGCACATATATGCAAATAGATTTATGCATGTATGTACACATACAACATACACGTGAACATATATGTATGAATGCATGTACAATTGTACATACATACATATGTGTGTGAGTGAATACATGCTTTGTTACCTGTATTATAAGAAAAATGATGTCAGAAATTATATATCCTGGTGTAATTGTAGCCATCACAAAAAGGTTTGAAGTCTATGTTGCATCAATTCTTCCAAATGCAAAAAAGTAAACTGTTTTGCAGCCATTATCACCATAATTTTTAACACTTTAATCCTACTAATTGTGGTTGATGGCATCATTTAGGGTTAATTAACACAATATATTCATGCAAAAAGTGTACTGGCAATGTCTTACGTTGGATGCTCAACCTGATGCAACCTTCGTAAGCAGGAACAATGACATGAAAAGTTTAACACTGCCATCATCATGGATTGTTTTCCACATGAATGGAAATTATCATGAGAAAAAATAAGTGGAGATGTATGTTAATGCAAGGCCATCAAAACACTGATAATGCATATTATTTTATATGACCCAACAAAATTACAATTTATAATTATGAAATTCAGTGGATAGAATAGTTACTACCAATATCAACAAAAATTGCAAATTAAACACTCACAGTAAAGGAAATAACACAGCTAAAATCATGATCCCCTAACATACCAAGACAGCGCTTTATGCATCCTACTCTGGATGGTTACACTAGATAAAAAATAAGCTTGTTTACACATGTGACCCTTGTATGTAGGTTCCCTAAAATGTAGGTGCCTGCTTCCCAACGCAATGGTGGTCGACATCCCTATTAATCTGCACATCCAAAGAGATAACGTCATAAACGTGAATCTTCTCTTGATTAGGATTGAACATTAGGTTTAAGATAAGATTAAAAACATTTGGGAATTTCCGAGCTAGGCAGTAAATACTCCTATTTAGGGAATATTTTTTTACCCATTGGCTGACCAACCAGAGATGGGGCAAGGGTTGGGGAACATCTTACCTTATTATTGATAAAGTAAAATACATGGTAGGCGGGCATCAGGCCGAGTCTACCCAAAAAGCTTCTATTTAGGAAATGAAGAACATAGCACAACTATTTTGGAATTACCAAACATGTATACTCCTATTTAGGGAGATTTCTTTACATAACCACAATACAAAAAAACTGCTGTCGAATAATTTGAAACAAGAAAAGATCTTTATTGCTTACAAAATAACTGATTAAGGTTCAAAATTTAACATGGTCTAAACAACTACTAAACAAGTATTGTGTGTTTAAGTATAAAAATCTACTCTGTATTTATTTATTGAGATAAACAGCTACTTGCAAGCCTGCTGCTGTCCAAACACAGCGAAATTCAATGAACTGCAATTTATGGATAGCCTAAAGCATGAGATTGAAGTTAAATGGTGCAATATGAAAGACACAAACAAGTATCGGAATTAAACCGTATGGAGTAAAAATCGAAAAGTTGGGATTCATAAACTAAGCAACCAACAAACATACACACTTCAACATTTCAAAAAACAAAATGAAATAAAAGAATTCATTTAAACTGCTACCTTACCGTTAAATGATAAAGCATCTCCGGTCGTTGAAGCCATCTCCATCATCAAGACAAAGTAACATTAATGCAAAATTCTTAATGTGCTTACCAATTAGAAAATTGTAAATGAATCCCGAGATCAGGCGGGGTGCACCGGAGCGTCACTCGCCGGCTACTCAGCCTTTATCATTGAAGTCTTCAAAGAAGGAGCGATTCGCATGGAACCCCTTCAGCGCTTCTTCGACAGCAAAAAACCAGCCAATCACAGCAGGGGATTTGGGGAAGAATATAAAATGAGAATTGAGATTAAGACATTAGGTTTAGAATGGATTATGGATCTTAGTGTTTTATTATGATATTAATATTAATTGAAAAGGAAAATTGTTTATGGGATGAAGAGAACGTTGAAGGCGGTAGGTGGCGGAACGAATATAGAATATGTGATTCGCGCTATTTTTGGTGTATTTATCCGAGGGAAAGAGACACAGACTTTGGTCAATAGTTGAAAACTGGGCCAGGGTCTATTCACCACATATTTTAATCTTACGTGGGTTACTCATGTTTCTTCGCTCCATTTCTTTGTTTGCTTACAAACCTGACACGTGCATCCTAATTTTACATGGGCTCTTTTTTCTTTATATACATTCGGAAAGTAATTGTCCCCATCCATCCAACACCGCACATGATTTCTTAGGCCTATGACCGAATATATGGAATTGTATTAACCGTTTGGTTCTTATAAATTATTTTATAGAATCGATAAGGAACCGAATCATTCTTAACGATTCGGTTTTGGTCATTTAACGGTTCTTTGTTTTAAAAAAAAATACAAATCACGATTAAATTTATGTCAAAAAGACATTTAACGTTTGAACTTACAATACAAATATGTTGAACATTATTTCAAACCTCAAAACGTTAGTTTAAAACATGAATACATAACAAACTTGAAATTTTAGAATATAAAATAGTGAATGTAATACAAAAATAAATAATAACTTTTGGACCTAATAAGAGGCGTAACTCCTAAGAAGCCCAAGAGAACTCGTTAAAATGAATAACAATTTTAAATACACACGTAGTATATATATATATAGGGGTGGGCGTGGTCTGGTCCAATATTTGGCCAAACCCGTACCCGTACCGTGACTATTCAAACGGTCCGATTTGGTTCGGTCCTAGACCTAAACCCGTTCGGTACGGTTCCATTTCCAAATGGGATCATATATTGATAACTTCCTACAACATTTTTGCAGTTTTTTATGATTTCTCCGATGTCACAAATCACGAACTTCAAAGTTCAAATCATACGGGCTTATCACCCTTGAAACTACACCATGCAATTATCACTAAAACTCGGGTACCATTACGTAGGCCAGTTGAATGATCTATATTTCCCATGACTACATGTGCCGATGTGCATCACTCGCACACCAAATGATTAGTGGAAAGCAAATCACACATTATTGTAATTCAAAACTTAACTGTAATTTCAATTCAAAACGTGTAATAGATAAAATCAATACTCCAAAGCAAAGTGAAGTATTATGCAAGAATTAAAAAGCAAATATATTTTTAGTTAAAAACGAACAATATTTGGTCTAATTAGAATAACTTATAATTTTCACCGATTTTCAATTTTTACCAATTTCAATTTTTTGTTAGACGATCCCTGTGTGGAGCCATATAGGCTATTAGGAGTTGAAGTTCCATCTCTTAATTTCCGACATGAAAAAGTCAAATTTGGAGCGTCTATTAATTGAAACTGGTGAGCAGAATAATGTTTCCTGTGTGTTCATTATGCGAAGGTATGTTACAATATATACACTTCATGTACGCTACACTTCCGTAGAAGATGAGAGTCCTGCTCCTACATATTTGCTCTCTCCGTTGGAGATAAATACAACAAATAAATTAATACATTAAATATTAACTAATAATGAATATGGATAACCATGCATGCACCAATTCAATTCGAGTATATCCCTTTACACGATGAGCTGCATGCATGCATGCATGTGTACGTAAAGAGAATAGCACATGCCAACACCCCCCCTCAAGATGGAGCATGGGGATCAAGAATGCCCATCTTAGAAAGAAGGTAATGGAATTGAGACGAGCCCAAGGCTTTAGTAAACAAATCCGCCAATTGTTCAGAAGTAGATGTGTAGGAGGGAATAATCACGACAGACCGAACATGGTCACGAATGAAATTACAGTCAAGCTCTATGTGCTTAGTACGTTCATGAAACACAGGATTGGAGGCAATATGTATGGCGACCTTATTATCACACATCAGCCGCATCGGAGGTAATTTAATCCGTAAGGAAGAGAACAGACTCTTAAGCCAAAGTAATTCACATGTGAGAGTAGCCATGGATCTGTACTCGGCTTCTGCGGATGATCGGGACACAATTGTTTGCTTCTTGGTACGCCAAGAAATAGGAGAACCACCAAGTGTAATAAAAATAGCCTGTAACTGAACGCCGAATGTTGGGACAACTAGCTCAATCAGAGTCACAATATCCAATAAGAGAAAGTGATGTGTGGCGACCCAATAAAATGCCTTAGCCGGAATGACCCTTGAGATAGCAAAGAACCCGAAGAACAACCTCCCAATGCGCAAGCCGTGGGGCTTGCATAAATTGGGAAAGAATGTGTACAGAATAATTGATGTCTCTGGCCGAGTGAGGGTGAGGTAAATAAGTTTACCAACTAAACATCGATAGCGATCAGGCTCAAAAAAATTTGGGCTATCATCAGATTGTAGTCCATGATTTTGAGGCATAGGAAAATTAACCGGCTAGGCGCTTGGCCCCAACTAGTCCTGTCTCAGTAAGAATATCCAAAACATATTTGCGCTGACACAAGAAAATTCCCCGCTCACCCCGTGCAACTTCTAATCCAAGAAAATATTTCATGTGCCCCAAATCTTTGACAGGAAATGTATGAGCTAAATAAGTTTTGAAAATTAAAATCATATCATGATTAGACCTAGTAATGAGTAAATCATCAACATAAACTAGAATACATAATATGTGGCCCCCACGGTGAAGAGTGAATAACGAGTAATCAGCCTGAGACTGTTGAAACCTGTATGTAATAAGAGCATTAGTCAACTTAGAAAACCAACAACGGGGTGCCTGTCCGAGCCCATAAAGAGAATGAAGCAATTTACACACCTGTCCAGGTTTAGTAGGGGAATAACCCGGAGGAGGATGCATATATACCTCTTCGTGGAGATTGCCGTGAAGGAAGGCATTGTCCACATCCATCTGGTGAATTTCCCAATCACGGGAAGCAGTGATGGTGAGCATAGTCCGGACGGTGACCATCTTAGCCACTGGTGCAAATGTCTCGTCATAATTAATTCCCTGAACTTGGCGGTTACCACACACGACCAACCAGGCTTTGTATCGATCAATGCTACCATCACTCTTATATTTAATTTTGTAAACCCATTTACAAAATATGGGTTTCTCACCGGGTGGAAGATCCTGTAGGCGCCATGTCCATATCCATTTCAAGGCCTCAATTTCGTGCTGCATGGCTGCCCGCCAACATGGATCACGAACTGCCTCACTGAACGTGTTGGATTCCTTGTTGGATGACACAGCTGCAAGCAAAGCACGATGGCGAACCGAAAAACGTGTATAATTTACATAATGAGATAAGGGATAAGGATTAGATGTGTCAACCACCGGAGGCGAGTGACAAGTAGGCGGAGTATTTATTTTCATAGTATTGAGTTGCACCACATAATCTTTATGCCACATTGGCTTCTGCCTGGATCGGTAGCTACGTCGTGCATGCATTTCGTTACTGGGAGTAGTGGAGGTTGTGCCAGCTGTGTCGTCCGGTGGGATGGTATCTGTTGTCACGATCCCATCATTAACAGCTGTACGTGAAGAATTGGAACGGTCCATGTTATCCCCATGCTGGCTGGCAGGAGGTACATGAACGGTGTCAGATGAGGTAAATTCCAGTTCTTCATGGCCATCAAATTGCGTGAAAGAATTGTTGTCCTAAAGCATGGGACTGTGTGCATGACCTGCTACCTCCAGAAGTGCTTGTTGACTCTCACTTGCATAAGGGAAAATTGATTCAATAAAAGTAACATCCCTTGAAACGAAGAAATTACGTTTTTCCAAATCATACAATTTCCACCCCTTTTGCGAGTAGGCATATCCCAAAAAAACACTCTTTATTCCTCGCGGAGCAAATTTGTCCCGATTCTTCCCATGATTGTGATCATAACAAAGACATCCAAATACACGAAGTTGATCATACTTGGGCACTTTATTAAATAAAAGTTCATACGGGCTTTTATAGTCCAAAACAGATGAAGGTAATCGATTTATAAGGTAGCATGCGGTTAACACACACTCACCCCAAAAATCAATAGGTAAATGCGCATGGAACCTTAGTGTGCGAGCCACTTCCAAGATATGTCTGTGCTTCCGCTCAACCCTACCGTTTTGTTGCAGAATATAAACGCAAGTAGTTTGGAATTGAACAAAATTCCATTATCCAAAAAATAAGATTTTAGACATTGAAATTATGTTCCGTTATCACTCCGAACAATTTTCACCTTCTTATCAAATTGACGTCCTATCATCGCAGTAAACTGTTTAAGAATATTGGATACTTCACTTTTTTCACGCATCAAATAAACCCATACTGCCCGGGAAAAATCATCAACAATAGTTAAAAAATATCTAGCCCCACATGACGCAGGAGAACGATAGGGACCCCATACATCACAGTGAATCATATCAAATATTTCAAATGGTCTTGAATTACTAGTGTGAAAAACATCACGAGTCTTTTTGCCACACAGACAAGCATCACAATTTTTATTCAAATCAACTGGAAACAATGATTAATCAAAACTAAGTACTGAACGTAAAATCTTCATCGATGGGTGACCTAACCGGGAGTGCCACAAATTACTCGTGTCCTTCCCTTTTATTGAACATGCTCGAACAAGATCCAAAGTATGAAAATAAAATACTCCTCCACGCTTTTCACCCGCTCCAATCGGCGTCCTCAAACGTTAGTCCTGTATCACACAAACATCATTAGCAAATAATATACAACATTTTTTTTCATCGATCAATTGCCCTACCGATATTAAATTACACGTCAAACCAGGGACCAAAAGCACATTATTAAGTTTTATGTCATGACTAATATTCACGTCACCCCTGCTCCTTGCAAAAGCCATCTCTCCATTAGGTAAATAAACCGTGAGTGGTGCTATTTGTTGAGAATTGACCAGTAAATGAGCTTTCCCAGACATGTGGAAAGACGCGCCTGAATCTACAAGCCATTGAGTATCAGTAGTATTACTTGAGGCTTTTTCGTGCGGAGACTTCTTACACTGTTCTAGGAGTTCAAGGACTCTCTTCCATTGTTCAGCAGAGAA